ATACTGGCAGACAATTTGCATTCTTCTGCACAAAGGCTGTACATGGTATACTCTTGGACTTTCCAGCACGACAATGGCCCTAAGCACAAGGCCAAGTTGACCCTCTAGTGGTTACAGCAGAAAAAGGTGAAGGTTCTGGAGTCGCCATCATACTCCCCTGACTTTAATATCATTGAGCCACTCTGGGGAGATCACAAAACGTTTAGTTCATGCAAGATGACCAAAGACTTTGCATGACCTGGAGGCATTTTGCCAAGACCAATGGGCAGCAATACCAGGTGCAATAATTCAGGGTCTTACAGACAACTATTACAAAAGACTGCATGCTGTCATTGATGCTAAAGGGGGCAATATACAGTATTAAGAACTAAAGTTATGAGGACTTTGGAACAGGGATCATTTCATTTGCTTACTTGGTGCCATGTTTTGTTTTAATGATTGGTCCATTCTGTGATGACCTACAATTGAATGTGAATCCCATAAGAAATATAAGAAATGTGTTTTGCCTGCTCACTCATGTTTTCTTTAAAAATGGTACATACTATTACCAATTCTCCAAGGGTATGCATACTTTTGAGCACAACTGTATGCACAAATGTTTTTTGTCTTTCTTTTCTATTTTAAATTGAATGGGTTGTTTTACGATGGGAGGGTTCACACATACTTTAACAACTAAAAACAAAAAAATATTAGTCACACAGGGAGTATATCAGCTACATAAGAAATGTATTGTTTTTCGAGAGTTGCTGACCCACGCTGCGAGAATAAGCAGTAAAGCACAATCATTCTGCAGTACTGCAGAGCAGGAAGCAAAACCTGTACAGGCGTACCTCGGTTTACGAATTTAATGCGTTCTCCGGGACGTTTCGTATTGCAAAAAATTCATAAACCGAAACACGGTTTCCCGTAGCAATGCATTGAAAACCAATTAATCTGTTCCGGAGGTCAGAAAAAAGTAAAAAAAAAAGTCTTATCTGTTCAAGACTTTTTATAAAGTGCACTTTAAAGGCATAAATACTGTACAGGGACATGATTAAAAAAAATTGTAAATGCATTGAAAACCAATGAATCCATTCCCGAGGTCAGAAAAAAATAAAAAAAAACGTCTTATCTGTTCAAAACTCTTTATAAAGTGCACTTTAAAGGCATAAATACTGTACAGGGACATGATTAAAAAAAAATTGTAAATGCATTGAAAACCAATTACTTCGTTCTGGATGTTATAAAAAAGTAAAAACAAAAGACTTATCTGTTCAAAACTCTTTTTTAAAGTGCACTGTAAAGGCATGGGGCCAGCGCTATAAACCTCCCAGGTGCAATGCATCCTGGGGAAACTTGCTTCGTATTTCGAAAAAAAATTTGTAAACGAGGCATTAATTTCAACGGATTTTCATTCGTAAACCAAAAATTACATTAACCAAGGCGTTCGTAAAATGAGGTACGCTTGAAAAATGTAATCAGTGTATGTCCATATAATGTATATTAAAGAACATAAATTGAAGGATTTGCCTAAATAAAATATCAACACACATTGATTAGGTGTCTTAGATGATTATCTCTTTCATATTACATGTGCAAAAACAATGAAAGACTATTCGCTTTCTTTCAAAAGAAGTTTTAAATGGAATTAAACTCAAAAACAAAAAAAAATATATTACAGCTTATCTGTCCTTAGATGTAGTGGCGGTATTAGTTAACTTTTTAGGTCTTTTTTCCTTTATTTTCACCTGTTGATATGGTCCGTAAGTCTGTTATTTTTCAATCTCCTTAAAGTGTTGCTATACTGATTTTTTTTTATATGGGCACCACATACTAGTACATTAAGATAAATTCACCTATTAAATAGAGCCCTCCAGCGCTGAGCTGTCCCCACTCCTGGTGCTTCCATTTTCACCCTGTCTTCCTTCTGGGTTCGCACTTTCCTGCAGTTTCAATGGCTGGGTCATGATGATGTCACTCCTGTGCATGTACACAGGAGTAATGAATATAGCACAGCGCTCTCTGCATTTAGGGCGCACTCAGTGTGATCTGAATGCAGAGCTAATGCATATGAGCCAGGGACATCATTGGTTGCAGCCAACAAATATATTCTGAAGTTTAGAAGATATTCATGTTACCTACAGATAAACTTACCTGTAGGAACAAGATAATAATAAGAATTTATTACCACTTTAGCAAACCAAACCAAACTGCCAATCAAAAGTGTCAGTTAGAGGGTTGAGACAAACTATTTACAACCGACAGGGGTCCTTATGATGGTCAGCTTTTGTTAATTTATGTGAAACCTTTTTGCCAAAACAGGAAAAAAAATGTTGCAGTAACTGCTTAAAATGTGTTAGCTGGAGTTTGGCTTTAATTCATTAGTTAAGTCAATCCCAACTGGCTGTTGCACCTACTTCAACCAGAATGGAGATACTTTAACAGAATTGTGTTACTGGACAGATCACCAGGTAAAAAAAAGGGAAAAAAGCCTAAAAACAAAAACTAAAGCAGCCGCATTTAGATTAAGTTCACACTTGGGCAGCTACTGAACAGCATTTTTAAAGATTCGTTCCTTGTTATGATTTCCCACGCCTCTGATTGGACGAGGCTAGGAGAGGGGTGGCACCTATTGGCCGCTGTCTCCAGTCTGTGGTAGAGGTGGATTAGGCTGGTTGAGGTGGAGGAGGTGGGGGTTATTTTCATCACTGCTTCTGGAGAGACGGTGATGATCGGTGATAGTGTATGTTCAGTTCCGAGAGGACGTTTATGGTGACTGATGTGGAGCCAGGCTTTCCATGGAGATATCAGGCTTTTATGACCACTCTATAATTTGAGGGTCATACTCATCTGGTAAGCTGATTGGCTCTATCACCTGAGGTGCAGTGTGTTACAGCTCCTCACAGAATTGGTGTTGGGACCCTATCCTTTGGATAAAAATTTTACATTCATTTTTTCCATTTATAGACTTACTATATGGATTTTATCAATACCACTTAAGCACTGCATCAGAACACCTTTTAGCATTTTTAGATTGCCTTACTGTTTTGTTGAACAGAGATTTTTAACCACTTGCCGCCCAGCCACTGTAGATATACGGCGACAGGGCGGCACTGGCAGGCAAAACCACGTTTTAAAACGTGTGTTTTGTAAACAAATAGGGGGCGCGCGCGAGGCGCGCCGCCGCCCTATCTGTCCTGCCGATTACCGCCGCGGATGTCAGTCACCGGGTCACAGCCGGTCCTTAGCGTCTGTTTCCAGGCGATCGGCGGTAAACAGTGACAGAGAGCACAGCTGCAGTAGCTGTGCTGTCTGTCACTTCCTTGTCAGCTCGAGGAGGAGCTGATCGATACAGAAGAGTTTCTCTCTCTCGATCAGCAGTGTCCTGTGCAGCACACACCCCCGCCCCCTAGTAAAACACTCCCCCTCACTCCTATAACCCTTCCCTGCAAAATAAAGTTAACCCCTTCCTCCCCAGTGCCATTAGTACAGTGTCAGTGTTTTTCTTTTTGCACTGATCACTGTATTAGTGTTTTTGGGGATGTCAGTGACCCCAAGTCAGTACCCCCCAATGTCAGAATATCCGCCGCAGTCCCGCAGTCCCGCCATAAGTCGCTGGTCGCTGCCATAAGTCACTGATCACCGCCATAACTCACTGATCGCCGCCATTATTAGTATAAAAAAAAACCTAAAAATCCCAATATCTTTCCCGCCATTTGTAAACGCTATAACTTTCACGTAAACCAATTAATTTACACGTATTGGGTTTTTTTTTTTAGCAAAGACATGTCGCAGAATGCATTTTGGCAGAAATTTATGACTAAATTTGATTTTTGCATTTTTTTTTTACTGGAAAAGTCCAAAATATTGTTTTTTTTTCCTCAAAATTGTCAGCCTTTTTTTTTTATAGTGCAAAAAATAAAAACCGTACAGGCGATCAAATACCACCAAAGGAAAGCTCAATTTGTGGGGGAAAAAAAGATGTAAATTTAATTTATGTACCGTATTGCATGACCACGCAATTGTCCGTTAAACTAGCGCAGTGCTGTATAGCAGAAAAATGGCGTAAGTTGCAGTATTTATACCATAGTTTGTAGATGCTATAACTTCCACACAAAGCAATCAATATACACTTATTGGAATTTTTTTTTACCAAAAACATGTAGCGGAATACATTTTGGCCTAAATTTATAACCAACTTTGAGTTTACCATTTATTTTTTATAGCTGAAAGTAAAAAATATTGTTTTTCTTCAAACTTTTTGGCCTTTTTTTGTTTATAGCGTGAAAAATAAAAAGCGCACAAGTGATCAAATTACACTGAAAGAAAGCTTTATTTGTGTGAAAAAAAGGACGTAAATTTCGTTTGGGTGCAGCATTGCATGACCGCACAATTATCAGTTGAATTAGTGCAGCGCCGAGTAGCAAAAAGAGGCCTGGTCATTAAGGAGGGTAAATCCTCTGGAGCTCAAGTGGTTAATGGGTCTAATGCTCTGCAACAATGAATCAGGCATTTGGCTCACCATTGCAGCATGGCCCCATTGACTTGAAAGGGCGAGTTTGACAAGCCGTGTTATATTTGACACTTCCGTAAGGCATCAAGGCTTGTGTACAGGCCCCATTTCTGTATGGTAATATTTAGGTGGGCGGTCAAACCACAGCTCAAAAGCCTGTTTTTACTGATACCCATGAGAAAGAGGCTGTAAATATTGGTACATGGCAATTATGTCACACTTTTGGGGGTTTAATACCAATTTATGCACTGTAAAAAACCTTTCTATAAGAAAAAACAAAACATACATTTAGTAAACTCAAACAATAGAGGCCATATGTGTTGTGTAGTCACTTTTTCAGCATGTAATAATAAAAACAAAATGCTGTTCCATGAAGAATTTGGAGCTTTCTTTCCTATAGTGGTGCAAGGTTGGCTATTACTGACTAAGTAATCAACTATTAAAATGAAAGCTATTCATGCATAGAACTAGCAAAGCTAGACTAAAGTTTTCTTTAAGTCATACGTACATATTCTTGTGTGAAGTCAATGAGGTTCTGCAGGTCAATATCATCTCTGTAAGCTTTAATGTTGCTGTTGATAAAGATATACAGCTGGTCCTTAATCCAGTCTTTGAAGACAAATGCCAGGACACCCGCCGTGAGCTCCAAGAAGAAAATAATTCCCAAGAATACAGAAAACTGCAAATAAAACAACAATTATATATAGACTCAATTAATAATATCACAATAATGTGAAAGCATATTATTTACCGCCTTGTATTGGCCTGGCAACAGTTACAGACATTTTCTTAGGATTTAATATCTTTCGAATAACCACGGTCATTTCATACTTAAATGTAGTTTGATCATGCCATTTTTTAATTAGGTAAAAGCTTTAACTCAAAAGGAAAATGAAAAAAACTTTCTTCAAGTGTTAGCTGGACTTAAAGGATAAGTTCACCTTTGGGAACATGTTACAAGTTCCACCCGTTTTTAGGGTGGAACATGTAACATATTCCAGATCCCGCTGACAACCCAGAAGTATGGGGAGAAGTTCCCCGTATTAGCTGTCAGATTTGAAAAACAGTGCATCTGTTTGGGGGGCTCTGCCCACATGACCATGTTATTAATGTGTTCTGTGAATGAATTGCCTACAAGTCCCAACAGCCTTAGCACCTGTCGGCTTGTAGTCCTCAATGAACTACCATGGCACTGTGGAGCTGTGGTAGTACATTGATTCTTCCTGTCAGTATGAAACACCTTGCCTGTATGGGATGTACGAGGAAGCAGATGTACTGACAGTGAGCAGGAGACCTGCATGGCACTTATGCAAAGTCCATCTAATCTACTAGCCCAATCAACACTACCCTTGCCACAGGTTAGCAATGTTTCTGTCTAGGGGTGGCTATGTTGCTCCTCCATAGACACAACCACTGTAAGCAAGAAGTAAGCATAGCCACCCAAAGCCAGGGAGTGGGTTACTAGCCAGATAACTGGGTCAAAATAAAGGGAAAATGCTTAAAAAAGAAAACTAATGCAGACACCACATCTAAGGACTGCCTTTGCTGTCTGAGGACTCTTCCTCTTCATTGGCTGAGACAGCAACGGGAGCCCACTGGCCCGAGAGGGAGGAGCCAGGAGCGCCAGTGGGGACCCAAAAAGCAGAGGAATGAAGCTGCTCTGTTGAAAACCACTGCACAGAGCAGGTAAGTATAGACATGTTTGTTATTTTAAAAAAAAATCTCAGAAGCTTTAGTGTTTCTTTAAGAATCAAGATACAACTTTCAAATACATCAAACTGCATATAGGATGCAACCTCTACATGCCTAACCCTAAAAATGCCTACTAGAATTTATAAAGCATATATTTCACTTTTATAACTCCCATCCTGAATTTCATACATACACTGACAATAATATGTTTTCTCATCTTCAGCTTCCTGACATTCCACAAACTCACATTTATACTTTGGAACAATTGTTAACAACTTTTGAAATCAAAAGGGCTATTAAGCATGTAAGCAGGTCGAAATGCTGGTGAGACAGCTGCTGCCCCAGTAGGGAGGGAAACCGTTAACCTGTTTCCCGCATTTTTTTGCTGATCTCTGCCTCTCTCCCCTGCTGATAATAAAAGGGGGATGGCTCTACCCAGTCAGACAGTCTGCATGTGAAAGAAAGACACAGACAAGCCACAGAATGTAATCTCCAGCTGCTTACAGATAAGAGAGAAGGGAAGCAGTTCCACCTGAGAGAGCAAGCCTGTGGGCTTCGCTTTGTATGGACTCTTGCCTGTGCAGGTATGCTGGGGCAGCCACAAGCTTGAGTTAGGTATTGAGTTAGGGAGAGACTAACTATTGCTGTTTTGTCAGCTGTAATACTGAAAGTTTCAAGTAGAGCGCTGAAACTTTTGTTATGCCTGGTCTGAAGTGACTTCAAGGGGTGTATGGTGGTATTGGCATATAGAAGAACAAAACTATAATGCACTTGTTGCTAGGGGCAACAAGTACAAGAGAAGAATGATATGACAGCAAGAGAGAAAAACCGGCAGAGGCGATGGGTCTCATGTATAGTGAGGGGAGTGGTTCAGAGCCTACCTCCCGAGCAGTTGGTTCCTGTTTGGGTATTTAACTCACAAACTCTTACGATACTTTACATATAGCTATTAGTAAATCAAAGTTACAAACCCTAATGTCGACCTGATGCCCCTTTTTTCTATCCTGGGTTAGCAGCATCCCATCAGTAAAAATTATATTACTTCCCAAATAATTGTACCTTTTTATGGTACTCCTGATTATGGTCACCTCTCATAGTTACCATGTCATTCAAAATAGCATAATAGGTTTGTATGGAATTATTGTAGACTCCCCACAAAACTATTTACCCCCCGAACCTTCTGGTGGATTGGGATTGCCGAACATTGCCAAGTACTATCTAGAATCACAGTTAGCACATAACTTACCAAAGACCAAGCTACATCTGAGACACCAATTTGGTTGGCCTTGAAGCTATTGAGACCAACCCAACTGGAGTTGATAACATGTGGCTCTCTCCAAGCGCCAGACTCTCCATCACCGCTCACTCTATTAACAATTGGTACAGTACAAAACATTGAAGTAACCTTGTATCATTCTATCTACCCCTACAAGCACTCTATCTATCCCTACAATTACCCCCGTTTCCACTTCCTGGGCAATAACTCTCCACATAGCTTTCATAACTGGTCCCATTCCAGAGATACCCAATTTTTATAAACTTTACATGACCATGGGTGTCAAATCTTTTGCAACCCTTCAGGAAGACTTTGTCTTACCTCGCAAGGAAATATTTGGTTATTTACTAACTAAACATTTTGTCCTACAAATAGCAAAAAGTAATTTCAATGTCCACTGCATCTTTACTGATCTTGAATTTGAAGTGTTACTAAACCCAGGACTCTGCATTCCCTATATCTGGTCTGCCACAGTACACACAACACGGAAGTGCAATTATTTTAGTAAATATAAACTGCTAAATATCTTTTCTCATCAGCAGTTAGAGCAGTCTTGTGACTTCTATCAGCATCCAGCAGAGCAAATATTAAAGTTTGCTGGAGGAGTTTTCAATCTGCTCTAGGAGGATGCAGAACCGCTGACCTCTGTCTGGACAGTGCCAATTGGCTCTGTGTTTATCACATGCACTCTCCAAAGAAAAAAAAAACCTATAGCAAAACATACCATACTGAGCATGTGCAGATTGACTCCACACAATATGTCTTATCAGGAGATAAGAGGAGAATACTTGAAGAAAGGGAGGATCAGAGAAGAGAGGATCTAACAGTCTTTTTACCCCTTAGGTTCCACATTGAGTATAACAAGCATGCTTTACTGCATACAAACACTGATTTTACTGTTGTGGGTTTAGGAACACTTTAAATGCTTACACAATCAGAACTCTTGGAGGTGGGAGGGGCCAAGGGGGTGTTGTATATAGCTTCCTGAAAACATCAGAGCATCTTGCCTCAGTACTCCTCTCAACAGCAGTTGGCTGGCATGATTAAAAGAACTGAAATCCAATGAATAAATGGACTGGTTCAGAGAAAGTAAGGCTGGGGAGGAAAAAGCTAGATGATGCTGAAGGTTCTTCATCTAGGAAATGAGGTGGTCTCAGTTTTACATGCTGTAGTTTCTATTTCACATTGCAGTGAAATCAGAGTAAGCGACCCTAGTACAGGTGAGGAGCCTATGAAAATTGAGCAAGACTTAACATAGTTCTGAAGGCTGAAGGTTTTTTACCTCCATGCATTCTATGCATGAAGGTAAAGAACCTTTAGTGTGAAGCTCCCCCCCCATCAGTGCACCCAATATTTACATGAGCCTGATCCAGCAATGTGCACAAGAGCAGCGGCTTTCCCAGGTCTCTCTCTACTCAATAGCTGAGCCACTGGCTCCTGCTGCTGTCAATCACAGACAGTAAGGTGGGAACAGGGGCAGGGCTGAACCATGCTCTGTGTGTCCTATAAACATAAAAGGTGGCTCAGGAGTGAGAATGCAGGAGTGCCCCCAGAGCAAGCAGTTTGCTTTGAAGGCACTCAGCAGGGGGGAGGAGCCAGGAGCACTGGCAGGGGATCTGAGAAAAGGAGGATTGGGGCTGCTCTGTGCAAAACCATTACACATAGCAGGTAAGTATGACATGTCTGCTATTTTAAAAAATCTGAACCTTTAGTATCACTTTAAGATAAAGCTGATATTCAGCTTTATATGCTTTTCAATGTATCCTTCACTGTATGGCCACTGCCTAAACATTCTGGTCTAATATCTGAGAAGCAATATATGTCAAAAGTTTATTTTGTACTGTTGATGCACAGGGATAAAATGCATTGTTTGACCTCATACAGTACATGTCAAAGGTCTACAGGTGAAATCATGTGAGCCGCTTTAGGATTCCTGACACTAACCATTTATAGTGAACAGTGGACAACACTTGCTTTTCTATAAACACTTACATTTTCTTGTATTTTCTTCTATTCAACTCAACAATGCACAGAATGTCATATTAATACAGTGGATTTACATGTGTCTTAGTATTGATTGCTGCAGCTGCTAACTGCTGCTGCCACACAAAGCTGCAATGTAACACAATGCAAAGACATGAATTTCTCTGGTGCACCAGCCAATGCATAGCTTCCTCCTTCTACCGTATCGTTTTTCTACTCGGGGAGGGGAGTAGTGCTACAGCTGCAGACAGGCAGCTTGGAGTCATCCTATAGGATCAAAGAAAATGTCACCATATCTACCCTAAGGCTACCACTCGTCTGCATTTATTTGTCTTGCACAAGATCATATTCTGAATCCCTGTAATTCATTTATAATAGACAATAAACACTGTACATGGACCCTGTCTAAGAGCTTTTTAAGAATGAAAGATACCACTTCACTTCTACTAGTCACCTTCTAAGGAGGGCTGCCAATAAAGGCCCACTTTACATGATAGGTACACAGCTGTTCCACAGGGTCAAAGGTGTCCCCTGAAACCTATATTACATTCATATACCATGCATTTAGGGCAACAATATCTATTAACCTTTATGCACTATACACTTTTTTTTTTATAGAATTCCCAATATTTATGTTTGTAAGGAAGGCTGGAGAAAAGTGGTTTATGGGTCTCATAATTAAAATTAAAAAAAACATATGGTAAATGCTGGACAATAAAGCTCACTGT